TTTATCAAAAGGCCCACGATTTTTGGCCCTTTGGTGAGGCACCCCATTTCATCCTCCTTTGTTGTGTTCACACGTGTATCACTTGGTTAGCAAAACTTTGTAATACATAGTTAAGTTCAATAAGAATAACAGATAGGCTCGACGAAAAGAAAAATTCTTTACTGGATAACTAATGTTAAGTACAAGTGGAACAATTATTTGGCGATTACTAAAAGAATACCTAGTTGGTGTAACTATGTACGATGCAGTCCTATTAATGTCCGCAACCTCCAATAAACTAAAAAAAAAAGAAAGAAAAAAAAATACAGAGAGCGCGCCAAGTGTACCTACATAAGAATGCGCGCTTCGTTTTACCCGAACAAGGTTAAAAGAGCCTAAGCTTGCCGCAGAGCCCTTTTTTTCTCTTTTTGGTTCCGCCGCCACGAAAGGTCTGCCGAGGTCGAGAGATAATCAGACGCGAGGCCCCACGGTATAGGTATGCTCGTGAGTGCAAGTATAATACGGGGCGTGTGGGAACAGAGTGTGGGGGCCCGAAACGTATTTAACGAGGCCTCACAAGTGCAATCTGTACACAGGGGGCACCGATACAAGTGGGCCGTCCGACCGGCGCGGCGCGAGGGCGTCGAAAATTTCACCTCTTTAATATCCAAGCCGAGCTCGCCACGGCCCCCCTTCTCTTCCTCATTCTCAGGTACACACACGCGTACGATTCCCTTTTCTTTTGTGCTTATATATACACATGCACACGTGTTGGAGGGTACACGAGATTAAAAGTAATATTGTAATCCTTTTGTTTCGCGAGGCCCGAGATGATCGGAGATGCTTCTTATTCTTATTCGTAATCAAAGAGCATTAGAATAATGCCCTCGTGATCGTTGCTGTTGTTTCGATCCGTTATTCGCAATTTTGAGGCATCATCGGCAAGTAAATAATTAAATCCGCACAATTTTCCCAAGCTCTTATTTCCATTGCTCTTGCAAACGGCTTTGAATAACTTTGATCCGAGTGAGTCAAGCAGCTTAAGTTTTTGATTCAACATCATGTGTTATGGAACTCCAATTACCATTGACATTTTAATTTTTTTTTTTTTTTTTTTTTTTTTATTTCTAGCACTGAGGGGCTGGCAATGGAAATTACAAGATTTTAGTCTCTCTTTTCATGATGTTTTTTCAAATCAGATATGCTGCAGTAAAATTTAAAAGTTACTAAAAATATAGGCAAACGTTATGATTCAACAATATAGCTATGATAAAAATATAAATAATATACGTGCAAAAAGGTGTATATCTGCTAATTAATCGTTACCATGAATAAATATAAGCTCTACGTATTGTGACCCGTGTTTGAAGTTGAATAAAGTTGTTTCCATCTACGCGAGAGAGCACCCTGTGACTCGCATACGACAAAAGTTTCAAGCCGATCAAGTAAACGTTCTTGCTGCAGTAGAGGATAAAAACTGTTCTCCCATTGGCCGACCCCGGGATTATGACTCGCGTGCCAAAATGTTGCGCTGCGTAGCAAAAAAAAAAAGTCCAAACGCATTTCTCTTTTCCTCCCCTACTTACCCGCAAAGAGATTTTTACTTTCCCTAACGATTAAATAAACAGACCGTTCGGAAAAGTGGCCCCTGTCATTATACATTAGCCTTTTTGTGTTGTTCCGATGATGGTTATGACTGTTATTAGTATCGGCTCTCTCGAGCCAATCTGCCTTGCACTGCTCTCATTTCACGGGCGGGTTCATGATTCACGCGTGCCCCAACGATCGGGCGCTTCCAGTCCCTGCTTACTTATACTCAAACCACAGCCTGTAATTTTCGCGTCAAAGCAAAAACTTTCACCAAAATACAGCACCGAGCTTACATTTTTACCAAACCAACCGCTCGAGTGTAAGTGTACATGTGCACTTATAACGTGTGGTCGCCGCATGTAGGTGCAGCAGTACGTGTGTTTTTGGGCGCTTTTGATGAAGCGAAACAACGGCACACCAACATAAACCACCACCTCGATAATTATTTCCCGAGCTTGGTCAAAAAACCACGAAGCATAGCTCCACATATCTATACCAATACCGTGTAATTTTCATGCGCTCCATGCTCCACAACAAACTGATGGATGTATAACTCGAGTTATTGGTCATTACGGCGGTCCAAGAGGCGAATCCAAGGAAGCGTCGAAACAGAATTCACACGGGGCTTTGGACAAGTATTATTATTCACTCGTCCGGGTACGCGGACCCGAAAAACAGTGAAATGGTGCTCGGTGTGGAGTTTCGGGGCTCACAGGAGGGTAGATTTGATCCTTATCAGCTCTGCTCTATCGTGCATGGGAGAGGGATCCGTAGGTTATACTGTTCCCATCACGTAGGTACCTATGTCGTGTTGCATCAGCATGGAATCACTGCGGATGCAGCACGCGCTTGGCCACGAACCATGTACACTCGTATACGTGTACGTATTGTGTGTATACCTAATCCTTTCCGGACACCCGCAATGGATGGAACCGTCAATTCAATTGCCTTTAAATCTAACGCCTATACTATACGTCTTGTGCTACATGCATACACGTGTGTATATGCACTGCCGCAATAAGCTCCCCGGGGTAAGTATATTCCTCGCTGCGCGCGCACGTATATAGAAACATCTCTGTGCTCTTGTATTTGGAAAGGGGATTGTATACATATAAGTACACGAGCGTCGAGTCGAGCTTGAAGTGCAGCTTGCACTCGAGCGAGATAGCATCGGCCGAGCTTTTGACCCGTAGCCGGCGACTCGCCCGTAGCTCATTTTCAGTACGTATACTGTATAATATGTACCTGCATTGCAATCGACCCACATGCCACATATTATGTCAAAGATATACGTATATAGATCGCAGCTACGTCAAAATAGAGATTGTGGGTGATTATTTATACGCGACAACTCGTTGTTTACTTATCCTGCAAGAGGTGCATGGGTATTATTATTATTATTATCATGTTCGAGCACGCGTGTACAAACGGTTCGGGCCCCTTGTGGAAACAATGGACGTTTCTTCGCGGTAATCGTGAATAGAGGCCGAGAGAGAGGAGTCATTGTACGTAGATCCGTCGCGTGCAGGCAGCGCGGAATCCTCTGATCAAAGTGGCAGGGGAAGGGGGGTACAAGTCGAGTGCCGCGTTTGGCATCGCGATTACATCAGAGCAGCTAGACTCGGCCGTCGAAACAATTCGAAGGCTACCTCGAGGTCCGCGCGGGCGATTCGCATTTGAATAAGACAAATGAAGACGCGTCCGGGCGAGCGACACGAGGGTATTTATTTACCGGGTGCGGAGGCATTCGAAAGGGATCGGTGATGCACGCCGAGTACAATCATGTATAGGCGGGAGAAGAAGAAGCACCACCGCGGCCTTCGAGCTCCGATTGATTACGATCGTTACGCGAACAATGCCAGAGCCGCACTCGGGCGACCTAACGACGCCACTGCGTCATGGAAGAAGCACGAGTAGAAGCAGGGAAAGGGGAGACGGGGGGGGGAGGACAAACGATGGCGACGACGACTAACAAGAGCCGGGAATGTCTCCGATGAAAATTGATCCCCTTGTGGCAGCTATACCTCACACGTATATATACCCACGCGACTCTGCGTACATGTGTATCCATGTATACACGCGTACAAGAGAACGAGATGAGTTATCCGATCTGGGGAACTGGTAGTTATACGTATACCTCGCCCATTAAACATCCGAACCGCGGTGCAATCGGTTTGCTGCTCATTAGACCCGGTGGATAAACTTTCGAGACAATATCGCAAACAGTGCACACACACACTCGAATTCATTATCGGTGATACATCGTATACGTTGATGCACGAATTTAGGACAACTATTTCGCTGGACATTTATGGAATCGCCTTTATTTGCATCGAGTATCCGTGTACGCGAACCCACACGCGAGACGAAAATAAAAGAGCGCTAATCTTCCGGGCCTACTTGCTCATCCATCAAAAGGACGGGTTTTCTCGAATGAATCTTGGCTTATGGCTCGCGTGGCCGATTGAAAAGGGAATCCCGGCCCGTTTGTCAAAAGTCAAACAATATGCCTTTGTTCTTTTGTATCCGTGCAGTGGTTTAACGAAAATAACAAAACCTGTAATATATTATATACGTACTGCGTCCCTGCACATGATCAAACAGCTTTGTACCTATTCTTACCAGCGAGACTGCACATTTTTTTCAGCGAGCCGATGAAAATCACGGGAAAAGCCCTTAGTATTTATATAGCTATAAATAAGTACATTGTCTCTTGATTTTGCTTACCATAAACATACGTATAATACCTGCGCTAAGCGTAAGGCTTGTTTCCGAGTGAGCTCTTCAATTTTTCAACTTGAACGCGTTTTGTTAGTTTTCAGGCTCGCAATGCGAAGCGTCAAGTTGAATTCCAAGCCGACCCCTCTTTTTGTCCCCCACGTCTAAAATATGCACATCTTTTCTCGACACCAGCTTACACCTCTCGTTTGTGCAACTTACTCGGGAGGGAGAGTATATTCAAAGTTTGATGTATTACCATCTTGGCGAGATTAAAGCTTAAAAAAACTCCTCCCGCCCTCTTTTTCTCCGCTACCTCTGCGAGCTTTTCTCATCCCCTGCACACCCATAATACCTCTGAATTAATTATGAACGGACAAGCTGCACCTAAAGTCTCTCTGTGCAGATTTCGCGAAAAACATCAGCACGAGTGTGCGTATGTATATAGCTCTGGGGGAAGGGGGCAACGACACCACGAGCTTTTCACCTTATCGCCGGCGTCGTAGCGTTCCCAAGGGTGGCACGGAGACCGGGGCGTACAATGGCAGCTCCTCCCAACCCCCCCCCCCCAAACGCGGCGCCGCCATCTGACGGATGCTGCGCATAACAGGGAGGAGAGGGTGACGGGATCCGCGCGCGTATCGAACTGCAGCCCCGGATGCGCGAGCCCGGCTGCGCCAATGCCCCCGAATCCAGCAGTAGCCGAAAGCTCCGAGCCCTGAAAGTAGCGTCGGTGACGACAGCCGAGCTGCGGCACACAGTGGATAGTTGTATCCAAACGCGCGAAAAATCCGGTGGGGAGTGCCCAGTACCTACTCGCAACCACAACAACGAGAGCCAGTATAGTGGTCGATCGAGCCCGTCCCTGCCTCCGGGATGCGGAGCTGCCGCCCGGAGCACCAACATGTAGACGGACGCTCCGAGAGACCCGATAACGCCCAGACGGCAGCGGTTGAGCGAGCGCCGAAACTATAGGTTATCCGAGGCAGGATGCGGGCCAAGAGAGCGACGTACGCCCTGACGGGCTTGTTCCTCCTGGCGCTGTGCCTCCTCCTGGTCGACCCGTCCGAGTCCAAGCTGCTGCAGCAGCAACAGCTCGAGAACCACGAGCCCCAGCAGCAGCATCTGGCCGATGGCGATGACGAGGAGGACGAGGACGATGACGAGGACGAGTTCGACGACGAGAGCAACAGCAGTTACCCGTCGAAGCCGGAGATAGACGACGACGGCCGGGTGTACAAGAACCCGCGCAACTCCCCGTCGGCCCAGTGCCCGCGGGACGAGCTCCAGGCCGAGATACTCGGGCAAAAGTGCCTGCGCAAGTGCTCGACGGACGAGGATTGCAAGAGCAAGAAGAAAAAGTGCCGTTGCGACGGGATATGCGGCATGTCGTGCATCAAGCCGGAGCGCGAGTGCCCCGAGCTTATGGACATCGAGCGGGGCCTTATGTCGGTGGGGGGCCGGTACTTTGGGGACCGGGTCAATTATAGCTGCGACCCAGGTTACCACCTGGTCGGGTTGGGGGAGCGCGCCTGTCGGGCGGACGGCCGTTGGACGGGGGTGACGCCGAGCTGCAAGGCAGACCCGAAGAGCTATTGCTCGCCCCCGAGCAAGCTGCCCAACGCCCGGCACAACGCCCTACCCGACCAGATGAGCTTCGACCTCGACAGCGTCGTCCAGTACTATTGCGAGCACGGCTACGAGACGAAAGGCTCCCCCAAGGCCAAGTGCTTGGCGCCCGCCGGCGAGGCCAACTGGTATGGCCCGGACATCATCTGCGAGCCCAAGAACTGCGAGCCCCCGTCCGACATTCCCAACGGCTGGCACGCCGGTATAACACAACACCTTACATATTTATCGTCTTTATTTCATTATAACCCTTACCATCTCTATCTATTTATTATTATTATTTATTTTTCTCACTTTTATAGGTTATTTATATTTTGCACGCTTGCTTATATCGATTTTCGTTGATTCGCGTTGCACGCTGGCACACATCGTTTCTATTTTCATAATTAGAACATTCCATCACGTAGAGCAGAACTGATTTGTCGATTACCGCGGTGGCTTGTGAACTCGAGTTACGCAATATATGTATATTATATACATCCTTGAGAAGCTATTTTTCGTTCAAGTTTCCGATGCTCCTAGCGAATGGTATAGCAGAGTACAATTCATGCATGACTTTGTACACATTCAAATGTGCGTGTTTTATAGAAAAAATCAACTTAGCTCCCTTTTTTTTTTTTTTTTTAACTTGAAAATTAAGTAGCAGTACTGCTACTAAAAAAATTGTACAAATCTAAGCCAGAAACATTTTCTCTGAATTAGCTGTTTTGATTGTTTCTTCGACAAAAACAATCAAAATTTCAACCAACTTTTTATTTTAAAATAACTACACCCTCATGATAATATATTATAAAAATATAATTGGAACTGTCATTTTACCTACATGATTTCCATAGTTTTTAGTAGACATTTTCATACGATATTTTTGGTATACTGTACATTTACGGACGACACAAGATTATTTGTAGTAAAGATAACTCTTTTTTTTTTTTTTAAGGCGAGTGTTATAGGTACAATTGCCACGTCGCGTATCACTGCGCCGACAGTTACGAGTTGGTCGGGAAATCTGAAAAAATTTGTGTCGCCGACGGCTCATGGATCCCAGCGGAACTTCCAAAATGTGTGGAGGTTGATTATTTTATTTAATCTTTAATCATAAGAAAGAAAAAAAACTGCCGACTTATCAAACTTTTAATAAATAAAAATGTAGTCAACATGTACAGTATTTGGCAATGAAACGTTCATCCGCAATATTGGTATATCGAGTAAAGGGGTAGCATGGGGTGGGGGTGTAGCGAAAACAGGACAGAAAAACTGCCACGGCCGGGTTTGCAGGTGACGTCGGTCCAGTGCACGAACCCCGAGCACCCGGTCAACGGCAAGGCCATCTTCACCTCCGTCTCCTACAACGCCGTCGTGTCCTACGAGTGCAAGACGGGCTACACCATCGTGGGCATGTCGACCCGACGATGCGGCGCCGACGGCAAGTGGACGGGCCACGCGCCCATCTGCAAGGAGATAGACTGCGGCTCGCCCGGCGTCCTCTACAACGGCTGGATAGACAACATTGAAAATGGTAATAAAAAGCCGCCACCAAATCTCCCACCCCTTCCCGTGTAGTGAAGCAGAAAAAAAAAAAAAAAAAAAAAAAAAAAAAAAAAAAAAAAAAAAAATAGAGAAATTGAGAGTCGGCGCGCTCGCGGTGGTTGCAGGAACGAGGATGGGCGCGAGCCTGATATTCCGGTGCAACGAGCGCATGAAGCTCGAGGGCCACAGCTCGAGCCTCTGCCAGCTGGACGGCAAGTGGAGCTACCCGGTGCCCCAGTGCCTGGCCCCGTGCGTCCTGCCCGACATACCGCGGGGCCACGTGTACGTCCAGGCGTCGGCCAACTCGAGCGAGCACCACTACATAAACAACGTGACGGTGGCCGAGCACGGCAAACAGCTGGCGGTCGAGTGCTCGGCCGATTACGAGTTCGTGGCCAGTCCCGAGAGCCCGGTCGTCTGCAACAACGGGACCTGGTCCGTGATGCCCGCGTGCTCGCCGGCCCGGTGCAAGCTCATGCCCAGGGCACCCCGCAACGGCATGGTCATAGCACCAAAGACCGAGCACGGCATGCGCGCCGTCTTCAAGTGCAAGGACGGCTTCGAGATGGTGGGCGGGGGACCGTACAACACCTCCTTCTCCGTCGAGTGCCAATACGGCAATTGGACCGGTGATCCGCCCCACTGCGTCGAGGTATACTGCCCGTTTCCGGGCTACGTGCAGAACGGCAAGGTACTGCTGGTCGGCAACATGGGCGTTTACGATTATCGGCCCTACGTCAAGCGAATCGTCAACAACAAGCAGATCATGTACGACTGCGACAAGGGCTATTACCTGAGCGAGGGCCCACCCGGGGCGACCTGTATCGGTGGCTCCTGGAGCCCCAAGGAGCTGCCCAAGTGCACCCTCGGCCAGCACCCGCGCATACGCTGGAACAGGCGCCGCCGACGCCGCCGACGAAGATCCGCCCCCACCGACGACCCGTCTCTTTCCACCTCCCCGTTGTCCACGTCGACCCCGTCGTCGCCACCGAGGAAGACCGGCGAGAGCGTGGTTCTGGCGTATCGGAGGTTCATCGACTTTTTCCGCAGGATCGGCAAGAAATTGCTCGAGCTCGAGATGGAGAGGAGCCACGAGACCCTGGTGCGAGTCGACAAGGAGGCAGCCAAGCAGGAGCTGGAGGAGGAAGAGAGGCGAAGGAAGGCTAGAAACCATCGACCCTCGAATCGCACCGTCGCTCACGTGGTCCTCGGCATAGTCAACACCACGGGCGAAAATGGCCACGGTGCCACCAGGCGGGAGCGCTCCAGGGACGAGAGGATGATGGACTTTCTGAGGGTCGTGTACCGTAAGCTACAACGAATCGACTCGCGGCACAACGCGACCAACAGCGACACGAACGTCACGATGCACGAGCTCCTCAACGTGATGAGCAAGAACCTCTTTCACGTGGATCTGGCCGAGCCCAAGAAGAACACCAGCACCAGCAGCAGCAGCAGCAGCAGTAGCAGTAACTCGGTAGCCAAGGGCCACGAGAATTACGAGGCCAGAGTCCAGAGGGAGTTCAACAAGCTCAAGCGGGAGTTCGAGAGGATCATGAAGTTCTACAACAAGTCCCTGCGCTGGAGCGAGAAGCACTTACGCAAGGACTTGCGGAAAAAGAAGAGGAAGAGGAAGAAGAAGAAGACGATGACTACGACTACGGCCACCGGCCACGATAGCTACAACGATGACGTAGACGTAGCCACCAGTACCCTTACCACCAGCACCGACAAGTCAAACAAGACAAAGGAGCACCAGCACCACCATGGACGGCAGCAGCACAGGTCGCCCAACTACTACAAGGGCTTTTACGAGTTCGTCAACGATTACGTGACGCAGAAGCTGACGGTTCTCGAGGCGCAGAACGCGACGGAGGAGCTCATCAGGAAGATGAAGATCGACAAGCCATCGGCGCGGAACGGCACGATGTTCACCATCGGCGAGATATACGCGTTCTTCAAACATATCATAGAGGCCAAGATGAACGATAAAAGTAATAACGATTCGTCGTCGAAGCCGAGCGAGTCACCGACGCCACCGTCGCCCACCACAACGACTGCAGCCATCCCGAGGAGCTCCCCCACAACGGGCGACGATGACTCGACAAAGACGCCGAGCTACCACCAGCAGCATCTGTCGGAGAATGAGATACCCTCGCTGGAGTCGGAGGATAACCAGCCAAAGCAGCGCAACAAGCGCATCCGGAACACATCCACGAGATCGCCCCCCACATCGGTGACCGACTCGGCTGTTGGGCGGAAGCTCCTGTCCGTGAACCATTTGCTGCTGGGTGACGACGAGCAAGTGCAGCCGAGACGCCCGAAACGCTTCCTCCGATCCTTGTCCTTCGAACAACTGGATAATCAAACGTTTCTCAAGAATTCGTACGTGGACGCCTTGGAGGACAAGTACAGGGCGAACCTCAAGCGTTCCATCGAGCAATCCGTTCAGAACAATCAGCGCATAGCGCCAGAGGCAGCCATCCAAGTACTGCCCCGCCAGAGACGCCTCCGCCAGTGAGAGCAGCATCAAATCGATTTCATTGTGATACTATAGGGAATTTATCGGTTATCAATCGATCATTAAACAACAATGCCAACAACAACAACAACAACAACAACAACTGATTTTATGCAATTATACACGTAATAATTATTATTATCATCATCATTATACACTGATAGTTAATCTGTTTATCTCTGCGGTGATATCCGCACTGTAACGTAACGTGTATCATCTCACGTTTTTTGACGATAAATAAATTTTTTCCATACTTACTCCAAAACTTTTTATTGTTTTTTTTTTTTTTTTTCATACACTTCATATGTACTTGCGTTTTTTTCTTCTTTTTGCTGTCTAAATGCATAAATTATTCGTAAGTCGGTAGTATACTATTTTTTAAACTCCCGCACTTACTTTTCATTTCTTCATTTACCGAGTCATCCTGAAATGTACTGTACAAAAAAAAAAAACAGAAAGAAAAAAGAAAAAAAAAGAAAAAACTGTTCCTTGGAAACATGAAGGAAAATTAAAGTGCCCCGGAGTGTCGAGCTTACCGGGAAGTGTAAACCAAAGAAACGAAATAAAAAGTTTTTTCCACAATCTCAACTGCGGCACGTAACTATGTATAACGTCATTAAAATCTTACATAGCACTCAAAGAAGCCGCGCGAAGATGTACCTACGCATGCATGGATAATTAAACGTTGGCATATATATGTATAAGAGCCACGGTAACATTAATGACGGATTTTGCGCTGCCAGCAGTCGCGCTGAGTTTACCCCCGTTTGTAGGTACTTCAAGAAGGCGTTGTTGCCAAGTGGAAGGGATAATACGACTTTTTTGGACATGAAATATCTTTGCATCGTGTAAATTATGACTATATCCTGCAATCCCTTTTATTCCATTCCAAAGTCTATTTTTGGTAAAACTAACAATTAGATAATGTATGATCACAACTATAGCTATTGGTCACCCGCTTGCAGAGTTACAGAGATCTCCGGATATCTCTTTTTCTTTTTTTCGTATCTCTCTGTAACCAAATTTCTATACCCATCTAAGTATTTGCCTGTCTTTTCCTCGCTCCGCTCAGTTGCACTGCTACTCGAACGGCTCTTTGAGCCGAGACTTTGCCCGGATCCATACGAAAGTGGATACGTAATGCGTCCCTTTTTCGCGCCCCCACCCCGTCTTTCTTTATCTCGCTTCCGGGCTCTTTATGCTCAGCAGAAGCACTTGGGGCCCGAGTTTTATGCCAGCCGCGTGTTCTCTGTCTCTCTCTATATATATATATGTATATATATAGGTACACGCGCATCGCGAAAAATGTAAGACATGCGATTTTCCCGAGTAATACGAGGAGGAGAAGCGAGAAGGGCCCGGAGCTTCGAATCGTCTTGCATTTGCACTTGAGTGCTTCTTTTGAGAGACGCTTTGACGAGTACGTACTATGCGCGCCCTACAACCTACGGTGCACAGAGAACGAAAGAAAAATGCGGTTGGCGAGGGGGAGACGAGATTTTTCCGGTAAAAGCCCCAGTTTCCCTCGGCGAGAAAATCGTGCCATGTCCAGGTATGACCTACGATTTTTATTAAATGTTCAATTTCATCTCCCTTCTTCCGCCCCTTCGTATGTTATACCTGCCAACGCAAGTGCCCTTACGACAGCTCTCTGATGTATCAGCCGTGCATGTGGGAATCGATTTTTCACATCAATGTGTGTACTTACGTGACACGTACACGAGCTATTTTGTATGATTCATACGGTTAGGAGCCCTTCAAAATTGAAAATTTTCCTTTGCCAATCGTAATATCATTTTTATCCTTCGTGCAGCCCAAAAAAGACGATGACAATTTTTATCGAAATAAAATGAATGAGGTTATTCAAACTAGTTTCACGAGCAATTTTTTTCGCGCGTTTAAGTAAAAATTCACGAAACTGCAACAAAAATTGCTTTGTTTTTTCAAGGCTTTTCGAATCGTTTTATTGTATTCAAAGGTGAAAATGTGGTAAAACTTTGCAAAGTGCGGATGCGAATTAAACAGTTACAAAGGCTCCAAAAAATTGTTCAAGTTTTGTCGTTTATTTTAAAAGCCTTGGGGGGAAAAAAAAACTTCCCACGACGTCCAGGTCGAAGGAGATAAATATTTTATTCACTGAAAGCCGACGAGGTCGCACGTATGCATCAGGTGCGGGACACTTGCGCCAGGGTCCCTCGGGTGTGAGTTGCGGAGGCGCCCAATAATATAAACAGAGGAGGTTCGCGGTTATTGGCCAGCTCGCAGGCAAAACAACCCGGGTAGTCGTCATATCACGCGCAGGTGACGAAGCCAGGCGGATCCTCGGAGTAATCCACCGAAGAGCATCTGGTGCGCACGAGTGGAGTACACGTATGGGGGCACTTCTTCGGAGAAAGCCAGAGATTCAGCGATGGCAGTCGTCAAGGTCGTCACTGGTGGTCCTCTCCGACAGGGGCGGTCACGAGGTTCCGTAATCAGCCTCCGCTCAAACATTACCACGAGCCTCGCTCTCTACTTCCATTGTGCTTATATATACATATATATATATATATATATTATCCCGACCCCTGCATGTTGTGCTGATGTATATATAGGCCCACGGCTCTGTCGAGCGCGGATTCGCTCGGACGTGATGGGGACCATTTTGGGGGCAAAAAATCTCCACCGAGTCAAACGGGGGGATCTGCCTTTTTTCAGCGAGGAAGCCGAGCGAGAACAAAGGGTAACGAACGCGGGCTCGAGCGGGTGTGAAACCCAATCATTATTACGAGGGAGGTTTTATCGTTGCGGGTCCTTCCTGGTACGGAGCGCCGTTATACCGATGGCGCGCTTTCAACTACCTTATTATTTCGGACCATTGCGTGGCTTCGTTCGACACTTTTTCACCGGCGTACCCTTTTCTCGTTTTTTCCTTTTATACCGGTTTTTTTTTTTTTTTTTTTTTTTTTCCACACTATGCGATGGAGGCAAGTATTTAATTTCACCATCTATGAACTTGAATGAAAAATGAGTGCGCTTTGACACGTTTAAGCTTCGAGAAAAAACAATGAAACAGGAAAATAATTAAAACAATTGATTTTGTCTTTGGGTGAGTAATCAAAGTAAAACTAAATTCGGCCAAATAATAACCCGTACCCAATATTTCATCCACTTTAGGAAAATTGTCCGTGTACCTATGTATACTCCGTGACTCCCGTGACACACAAGTACAACTCAAAGTACCATATGCAGTATGGGTATAACCTTCCCAGGCTGATGTCAAGTTGCGGCTCGAGTAAAAGTAAGCGTTCAATCAGTGTCGAGTTGCGGCTGAGCGATAAGCTTTATTTTCTAATTTATGTCGAATTGCGGCTGAGTAACGTTCACATTACTAATTGATATATAACGACATTTTTCCAACTTTTCTCTTTTCAGCCGCAATTCGACATTTGCGCCTTCCCACGCGCGTTTTTGATAATTCCTTGAGTATAATTCAAGTACTAGAGAAACGATACATCAAAAATTAAATTTATTCATCCAAAGTCAAATCAATTTTGACAATAATTGTATGTAACAAGGACCAACGTTGGTTTCGCGTGAACCAAAGGGTTGGGGGTTACAGACGAGGCGCGTTTTTCAAATGAGCCGTGGAACAAAGCCGGCCGTGTGGGCCTTCGATCGGCAAACGGGGACCACCGGGCTGCGAAAAAACCAAAGAGAAATAAAGAAGAAGCGAGAGAAGAGGAGAATCGCACGAATCAGTCGCCCTCGCGGCGCATGAATCACGGGATTTAGAAACGAATTAAGCGAGCGGACTCCCACGAGAGGGACCCGGGAAGGGGGCTCTGCTTCAATTCAAAACGCGTTTGCTCGGAAGGTGTATGCGTGCGTGTGTGTGTGTGTGCGAAGAGCGATGAGAATCGGCACCGGTCCTGGTGGCCTTAGAACGTTGGTTGGTCTGTACATTATGTATTGGCACAGGTGTAGAGGCGCATCAGACGCTGATGGCAAGGTACATTCCTGCCCTTAATTGTGAATTATGTGCATACTCATCTATACTCTGGCCGTCTCTAGCCACACGGTTAGGCTGAAAAAGGCCGATACGACGCACCGCGAGACATCGAGTAGGTGCAAGTATTGGGAAAAAAAAAAAAATCGACAGCTTGGTCCAGGTGAGAAAAATTGTGCCTCTGCTCTTCGAATGAAGCTGTACGAGTGTGGAAGTAAACTCTCTGCTACCGATCAAGAGTTAAAATGGAGCTGATGCTCAATCACGGACGTGAATTTTCTAAGGGCATCTAAGATTACCTTGATCAGGTATACGTGAGTATACAACACTTGCCGTAAAAAATTCTTGATTGCAATGGTTCGTCCCAAGAGGTGAAAATTAAAAATTACACTTCTCCCCCGAAAAGTCCACAAGCCGCGAAAGACGTAAATATAAACGACACTGTGCGATCACGAAGAAGAAAGGGGGGAAAAAAACGATACGCTCCCGAGGTCAAGCTCGGGGGGTTGAATCCACGGCTTCCCATCTCGATGAATGATTCAAAGTGCTGAATGCCCGACCGGTTGTGCGCGCGGGTATATACATCACATATACCTACGTGGGACTCGGCACGCGCTCCTAAATAATAATAGCGACTCAGCGCCTTATACGCCTGCGTTTCCCCTCCTGCGACGAGAGACGTTCAAAGGAAGACGAGGTTGGCTCGCGTCCACCCGCTCGTTATACATTGGTACATCCACTGCTCCCTTGTGAATCGAGCGCGCGGATTAGATACGCTTTTCCATCCTTTCAGCTGTTTTGGCCATACGTGCTCCGTCCCGCGTGACGTCGATAAAAACAATTTTCGTGCAGCCCGGGCACACGGAGGAAAGAAAAGGCTTGTCGAAGCCCTCTCTTTCCTTTTCACCCGTTGTACCTTTATCTGCCCTTTTTTTACCTCTCTTAAGAAAAAAAAAAAAAAAAAAAAGTTTTTTTTCCCCACCTGAAAGAGCCTCTTTCGTTGCTTGCTGCATACGTCATTAGAATTCAAAAGTACGATATATGCATTGGTATAAGTACTGACTTTTGTACCAACACATACCTATAATGTCCCGGGGAACAGGTTTACTAACAAAAAAAGGACAAACATTCAAGAATGTTGAAATAATATGAACATAATAAACCATTTGCTGATGAAAGTTTGAAATAAATTCTACTGATTGATTAATTATTGTTAATATAACTAAGTATGCAGAAAAAATACGGCTATTAATATAA